TCCACGCCGCTCCAGTCCAAATAGATCACTGGGCTATGTTATGTCGCCATGGGTTGATCTAACTGAAGGCGCAATCAAGAGATACGAAAAGAGCAACCGGATGCGCACGGATTTTCTCAATTCCAGCTTGCTCCGATGGAGCATGAACGCCTACCAGCCTAGCTACAGCCCTAGGCAAAACGTAGAACATTTTGTCTCCCGCTCAACATCCTTTCAGTGCAAGAACGCCCATATTTATGCAAGTGAGGACAGCCGAAATTTTTTACGACGAAGTGCGTGTTTTCGCTGAAGGGGTGAAAGCTGTATCAGGAAACAAAACTGGTTATCTAGAGACACCACACGCACTTCACGATACAATTCTGTCTGGTAATCTAACCGGGTTTAAGATGGAGGCAGAAAGAGCTGTTGAGCAGGCTAACGAATTTTAGGCGCTACCCCGGGCTTCCTATTACATAGCGTAGATCTTGGGTAATCACCCGCCTCACCAGAACAGCGATCACGCGAAACTTTAGCCCGTTACACAGCATGGTAACAGCCGCAACCTACTAATAGTCTCTATTCCCACTTTCCCTTAAGTTAGAGCTTGAGTGCTTATTCGCTATAGACAAGGGATTCTTATAAATCCAATGAGCTCTTTAAACAGACACTAGCTCCCTCGCAAACCCTTGGGCTCAAAACTAAGAAAATTGCTATGCAAATTTAGATCTAACAAGATTATAGGGCGCGCAAGGATTTCCATGTCATTTAGTTACTCAGACATTACCTAAGTTGAAAAAAGCTTATGGGGCCTGACTTCACGGACCTGGAGTAATTGATGTCGCCATCCGACAGCGTGCCGTGCAAAAAATTGCCTGAGCCGAAGTCACCCTCAATATTGAAGTCCGGATCAGTAAATTTCTCGTCGATGCAGAGGCGTTCACGCACGATACGCCGCATCTTGTTCCTGCATTACTCGGCTGCGTCCTCAGTAAGATCAATGTCGAGCAGTGTTGCAGGTATGTGGAGTTTTTTCATAGAGGCACAACTCCATGGAAGATGTATGGAGCATATAAAGTTCTCTAATTCCACGCTGATTAGTTAAAAGCTCTATTCTAACATTACGTAAAAAGCTTAGATTTTATACGGTACAACACTCCAGCTGTGATAGCATTATGCGTGAATAAATTCATGGAGTATATATATCTAAAATAGTAAAATACGTATTATATAATCACTTAAGCGCGTTGGTGGTTTAGTGGTAAAATCCATCGTTGCCATCCGAGTTTCGATGGGCCCCGGGTTCGATTCCCGGCCGACGCATTTTTTGGGGGAGACAAAATCTAACTCCACACCTCCACGTGGTGTCTCCTAGAAACCTCTGCCTTATGTAGAGCAGTCTATACACGCCGTTGATTTCAGGGTTTATAAGTATAGACAGTTTTTTTTATATTACTTTATTCTAACTTTAGTTACTATATACCGCTTCAAGAGTCATCTGAAATTCATCGAAACGACCAATCCTGATTCAGGCATTCTCTATCAAACCTACATTTAGGAAACAAATCCCTCTCTACCTCTAGACACCACTAGCTACACAAAACGAGCCAAATTTACCAGCCTATGAGTTAAATTTTTGCACTCATTACAGACGAACTCAACCCAGTAAATAGAGTACATGATCGTGTCTGTACAGCTCTTCATGTTGCCCGTTCCCATTCCACATATCGCTCAGAGCCATTGTGGTCGGATGCATAAAGAATATCAAACTCTTCCTTAGTCGCAGTCTTACTAAGCCGCAGCGGCCACGCTCTAACAATCGAGTTTTTCTGCCTCATTCTAAGCCCGTTAGATACACTAATCTCATGAAATTGACACTGTTCCATAAACTGTCTGAATGGCTCATCGAAGTCAAGAAACAAAGCTGATGCTCCAATGAATCGTAAGAACTCTGCGTTACAGGGCCCGCCGCTCGCAAATGTTGCCGGGGAAATCGGTAGATATTTGAGTATGCGAGCTTTGTGAGCACCCACCGCGGCCATCACACGTTCATAGTATGAGCCGTCTTCATGGACAGCGTTGAGAAAAAGTGCCAAGAGAGTCGCCTTCGGATTCTGACTCTTGGGCTTGAGTAGTGGCCCAAATACGGAGAGAGTAAGTTGCGGCCCCAGATATCCGCGATCAGTGATATTTGAAACCTATCATACGTTAGGGCGGAGAATTAGAACACACAGATTGAAAACCAACCTCAATCCGATCAAATGAAATATTTCCTTTCACGGACTCCTTGAGGATATTGGGAAGCTCTACTGCATCGACTTGGAATAGCTGCAAGTGAACTTTGGCGCTCTGAATCCGGCCGCAGAACTTTAGTAGAAGATCTCGTAAATAGAAGAACAGGCTTCCATAAATGTCCTTCTTCGCAAGTGGTGCGCATTGATTGACCTCATCAATGTTCCAGCCACTCAATGGATCCGAATTATCTTTCATCAACCAAACATTCTTTGTTTGGTAGAAAGTCCTTCCTAGAGTAAGTCTACGGCTATGTTTGCAATGACAATCTTTGCTTACGGGTTAGGTGTATCGAATTCCCCTCTCGATGACCCAAATGGGAGAAGGATGCCATCCTCTCGAAATTTCGCCGTACACATACGCCATCCTGGGGGCTGAGTGAATAGCGCGCGGTCGACGTAATCCGCTCTTTCTGGAGCCAACATTACTGCTTTACGAGTCTGTTGGGCCAAGGCAGCTGTGATTCCGTCAGGGACCTCGAAAATCCGCAGTAGATGAGACCATTGCTCCTTTCTAAGGACTAGCCGGAGCGAAGAACTTCCAAAGGTCCAAGTCTTTGCTTGAAGTGAAGACAATGGTTTAGACTTGATCTTCGAGCAAACGTCCTCAATCAGAGGTGATACATTGTCTTGAAGTAATTGCAGGAGTCGACTTGGTATCAAGGCTGAATACCATAAATGAATAATCATTGGCACGGCGGTTTCCGGGACAAAGTGCATTGCTGCCAAGAGCAATATAGCATTCCGTGCTACGATATCGAACTCCCGGTCGTTGATCGTAATATTGCAATTAGCTGTGTAGGTCCCTGGCAGCCCCAAGACAGACTTCACTAGGTTCCTTATATCGCCAGACGCAACGATAGTTCAGCTTCCAAAGTGACCTTCTAAAGAGCTACTAGCTTACCTGCAAAAAGTAAAGCGTAATCTCTGTCTTTATCGGACCCCTCGTTCCTCTTCAAATTGAGCACGTCAATAGCTGGCATGTTTCCCCACATATACTGCTTGCCCCCATATTGGTTCGGCGAAGGATCATCACCTATAAACGCAGGCTTTCGACCCTCCCGGTCCCACGATGGCCTCCACGTTTTCTTAATCAATGGAGACTTGCAGTCATTCTTGTGCGTCTTCCAATGAGCCCGCTGGCATTCTCTACTACAGTACTGATCGTAGGAGTTAGCAAACAATCACCGCAATGCGCGCAATTATGACAGCCTACGAACCTGAACCAGGAAGCAACCAGTACAGGCATTTCCAGCAATCTCTAAGCATGGAGATCTTTCTGTGTCGAATAAGCGCTCGGTGTTTGCGCACAGGGGTGGGTTCAGGAATGAAGATGCCGTGGAAGCCATTTGAAATTCGTCCAGGACAAAACTAGGCAACTTAGATTAGAGATTTTAGTTTGTACGGCATGGCGTTTAAAAGCTTTGTAGCTGCGGGGTCAGCCTTGGCATTTGTGAAACCATTCTAATAGCCAGCATCCAATCGTCGATGCTCAAAGGTGGGTATACATAGCGGACGATGCACGGGGCCGACCTATGACACTGAGCTTCACTCCTAGTCATGCTCATCACGCGGAGAGCTTTGTAAGTTCTAGACTCATGGGAGCCTTTTTTATCGCCGTAGCCTATCTCCTCCTCAAGGCCTACTTGGCACACCATGTTAGCAAGGGTAGGTGACATTCACAAGATCTTGCTTCAATCACGTGACTGCTTCGCCGCAGAGCGTGGCTTCACTAAACTCTTATATACACGATTGTATCCTACGCCATCATGGCACGTCACGTGAATTTTAATTATTAGGTCTATTACCTGGCCTATTTTTCTTCCTATCTTACGGCAAGTATCCACAACAAGGTGCGGTACGCCAGCCGAACACTTAGTAATGGCCTCAAGAAGCCAATAAGCATATAGTCTGCTAGTGTCTACAACAAGTTACACAGAAGACCCTCTTGATAGATAGTTGACTAATAGGAACACGAGGGCAGGGGTTCCAAATTATCATTCAGCTATACTGCACCACCGCCAGTTACTATACTCCAACTTCACTAAAGCCAGTATTTTTTCTAGAACATTTTCAAAACTCTAAGCCCATTTGCATGTCAAGATCCCATTCATATGAGCTCATTTATGGGAATGGGTGGTCCTAGAAAATCCTCCGTCTATCAAGTGAAGAGCACAAAATCAGAAAACTTCATGACAAGATATTTATTATACAATGTTTAAGGTCTCCAATTTATCCGTAACACCTCCAACGCCTTCGCCATGCATAATGCCATGCACATAAGCCTCACCAATAAGATGGTGGCTGCCGAAAATCTTGCTACTAAGTTTTAGCGGGACGGAGCGTCGGATAGCCTTTGGCATATTGTTGCGAATAATATACGGAACGGTTGTCCCAGGTATGATAAAAATCAGATCGCCAACTTCTGTCCGTTCTGGCCCCGTACCTATAAAGTTCTTCTTCGTTCTGAATAACCGCCTCGACGTGTCTTTATTCCGAATGATATTTCCAAATGCCTCAGCTCCACTGAGAAAGTTGCAATACCAGGTCGCCCAGTCCGAATGACCGTCATACAGCTTCTGGAAAAATTCCAGTTCCTCGGAACTGAATGGGACTCCTAACGAATCGAGGCTGTACCCAATGCCCCTCAGGACTACTAGGTAATTTTGCCGTGAGTGGTTGGCCGGCAATGTGACCCTAGTAAACTCCTTGGACAACTTAGGGCTGTAGCGGGACAGCTCAACTATTGAAATAAATTTAAGCCATCCAGTAAATTCTTTGCGTAAATCTTGGGCAGGATGTGATCCAAGGGCTTCGTCACTGATGAAGGTTCTCCACAAGGCGTCCAATCTTCCAGTAGCACTGCCTTTAAGTTTATTCAGCAGACTAGCCCATCGAATCAACCCAGAAGCGCCAGTCCCAACTCTGCCTAAGCCTGGTTGTGCGGTTTCCACCACGACGTCCCACTTAATTCCTTTTAAGACGAGGCAGTGAGTGGGCGAGATATGAATCAATTGGCTTCGTAAGCTATCCCCTACGGCATTGTATCCTATTCCGTTTCCTTTGCTTGTGGAAATTTCGGTGGAAAGCGAAGTATGCACCCCAAGCGGCTGGAAGTACATTGGCGTACTAAGATCCGGTATCCAAGAAGGGAGCCCACCGACTCTCGAGCCTTTAACGTCTCCGGTTAAGGACAAAATGGACGGGCCGTAAGCTTCCATCAGGCATTTTCCAACTGTGACGAATAGCTGTTTTGTCGAGTTTATATAATTAGCATACACTATTTCCTTGCCCTTTGTTGTTGTATGCTGCATCGGAGAAGAAAACGACAATACAGCGAATACATGGTCTCTTGGGTCAGTAGCAGAAGAATTCCGACCAACAGAAAGAGCAGACATAAAAGGAAGTCGTCCGTCACGCCTGAATGCTCGTCTCTTGCGCTCTAAAGTAATTGCTGGAATCTCATCGTCCTGGTTGATACTAGTCAACAATGTCTCTCCCCGACTTATGGCAAGATCAAATCCAAATCGGTTTATGCCCGGTAGGCCTCCCTTCTTTAATCTATTGCGGATGGTTTCGACCACGCACGACATGAGCATAAAAATATTCCAAGGCAGAACAAACTGCCCACATACAACAGTGGCTTCGTCAGCCATCATTACTTCTTGGATAATCCAGGCTCTTTCAAACCACCTTCTCTTGTAATACGGTACCCCTCTCAGCCAATCTTCAAGCTTTTTTTCCTCGAATGTGCTGAGCCAATTAGTGACTACACTTCTCAAAGCACGCGGGATGGATTCTGATAGATAGCCAGCAGGGTCATGCAACAGCACGTCCATTGTGTCGTCATCGAGTTTCCCGTTTTTAGTAGCCAACTCCAATAGCCAAACAGTCTGCAGCAACTCACGCGTTGTCGCATCCTGGGCATCCTGACGCTCTTTACCAAGCCAAACCACAACCGACTGGGCGCGCTTATATATGTTGCCCATGATCCCAACCTGCATTGCCTTCTCAGCATCATCAGCCTGATTG